ATGTTCCGGCTTTATATAAAATGTAAACAAGGGTTTTAGGACGGCCCCCACTTCAAAGCACCCATCAAACTTTTCAGGCGCCCTCTACATCCCTCCCGCAGGCCTCCTGCCAAGCCTTTGCAGCGTCTTTCATGAGGCCGCGCCGTCTCTGGCGTTCCAGAAGCACAGGCTCAACGGCTCTTCTTCTGTCAGCTGTTCCAGGAGTTCAACCGTGATTCGCACCATGGCGAAGACCACACAATCCGACCCCGCCAACTTCAACGCCTTTGGATTGAGCCAATGTGAGCCGTAGCCGGAAGCCTTCTAAAAATTTCACAGACCTGCAAACCGATCACCGTTTTACGACCGGTTCGATAAATACAAGCTCGGCACATGCATTCTCGCATACCGGTGTTGGGTGTCACCGCGACAGGGCCGTCCGAATCCCAAACACACCATCCATTTGCATTGCAATATGCTGTAGGCGTTGGAGCTGTTCAGGTAATGCTGAGGATAATTGCGATTTGCAAGGATAAAGGCCAATTGTGAAGGGTTAAGGGATTGTATAGGGATTTGAAGGGATTGCTTTAGGCCTGCCATGACTACACAAGGGCTTGAGATCATTTAATGCGGTTTAAAGAGGGGGTTCTGCCGATTTTTGAAAGGGGTTAACGAAAGTCATATGTGTATAGATGTTTGTGTATATGCATGCACACTGTCGAAAAACTACCTCAGTACATGCTTCGAAAAGCTTCTGCTTGCAAGTACTAAGCTTACAAACATCTTTGTGCAAAGGTGTTAAATGACAATGTGCAGCAAAAGCGATCACGTACCTGCTTGCGGTGTTCTAGTTTAGGCGAGTGATCATAACAAGGCTTGAAGTGACTATTGGGGGGTCAGAAGTCCCACACACACGGGTTCAAAAACATCTGGCAGAGGGATCAAAAGCAATCTGATGGTTTGAAGTCGCAGTCTAGAGGTTTCACATGCTCTTTAAGGCGAAAAAAGGATCATGCAAGGGTATGCGAGCACTTAACAGGGATTAAGCGTGTCCCTACAAAACAGTTGTACAGGGGTGTACCTCGTTTGCTGCAAGTCTAGCAGGGGCGTGTGGCCTCTGAATTGTTTTCAGAATGCCTAGATTGCAGATTCTCCAAATACTTAAACTGATCACATAGGGGGTGGCTAAAACTGATTGCGTATTGGGGCTGAAGTCAGTATTCAGGCGCTAGAAGGATTGCCCATAGTGGCTTCAAAGTTATCATATCAGGTGCGAAGCGATCCTGAAGGTTTTCGTCTCATTGTCAGTGTTGGCAAGGCTCATTGATAGCTGCACAGCAATCAAGGGACTCCAGAAAGATATCGCAAGAGGTCAAAATCAAACGGACCTCGCAAAAACAAGGAGCGCATGAGAAAGACGTTCAACAATGACAAAGCACATTGTCAATCGTAACAATAATAAGTGGTAGGAAATAACAAGAATAGAAGCTATATTCGTGGTAATAGCAGCATTAATCCGGATTCCTCATATGATGACTGGTCCTTGTCGTTCCCAGCAAAGTTGCGAAAGACTCGTGTGTACCACTCGTCCTGCTTCAGGCGTCAAATTCTCAACGCCCCCTGGACAGCAAATGTTTGCATACCCAAATATTACAGGATGGGTCTTCGGTGCTCTGCAGATTCTAGATGGCTGAGTCATTGAAGCTGATCACGCCAAATAACTTTTCCATATCATTTGTAATACTTCAGTATCACCGATCTCCTAAACCAAGAAGAACTAGGCACCTAGGACCTTGAACCTCCAACCAGTTCCCCACCCCGACGAAACCCAACTATCCCGTCCATCAAGCTTTATCTCTGCTAGCGCCCAGAAGTGTTCTTTGGATTTTTAGTCGACATGGCGAAAACCATCAAGTAACTTGCCTAGTATGATGCAAATAGGAAATCCATGGGCCTGACGCGCACAAAGCAATGACACACTGAACAAGGGGCCCTCAGGAAACATAGCAATCCACTGTAAATAGGGCAGTGCCGAAGAAATCTGCCCCATCCTGAAAATGTGCTGACAAGGAAGCGTATTGCATTTCTTATACTGCAAACCCCAAACCCTAAACCCAGAGCTATTCAAGGCCCCACCCAAACTACATAAAATCATCCATCATTCTCCAACTGATATTGTGCTCAGCCTCCCCTTATCCCGCACCCCGAAGTCGAGGCGCCGTTACCATGAAGCCCTCATGCTCAGAAAGCCCCAAGCTCCCTGCCACTGCATCTGAATCCTAATAATCCACGTGCTTCCATGTGATGTTTCACTGATTTTCCCGTTGATTCTGTAATTTTTTGATCCTGTTGTAGGAGATTAAGCTGCGGATGCTTAGAGTTTCAAGGGTCGGTGCCTTTGCACATCCTTATGGCATAAGGGGGTGACAAGGTCGGCAACGCTCCTTGGGCATGGGAAGATCTCCCAGCTGTTGGAAGACCATCATCAAGCCCGTCTTGTTCTGGCCTTTGTCACGGTTGGCAAGTTTGGGATCTTTGCTGGCCCCCTGATCAGCCGGAGGTCAGAGGTTCGGATTGAAGCGGATACACAACTACCCGAGATGTTGCAGTGTGGGCAAGGGCTTTGGGCTGCCCAGTGAGGGCCTGTCACATTGAGGTCTGCTGAGTGTTTGGAAGTCGCGGCACAGCCTGCCCAGGGTTTTGGATCTGGAAGGGATGTGAACCATGGTCTGAACTCCTAGCATCCCCCCTTAACAACCCCTGTAGTGGTCTCTTATATAATCCCCTTTAAGGAGTTTAGACTATAGCTCATATTATTAATGTACATGGGTTCTATTAGGGAGTATATTAGGGACCATACTAAACTACAACAAGGACCCCCATGTCCACTATTAACGGTGCCCTAATAAGCCCATCTTGGCTATAGCGGTAGCCTGCATCTCCGAGTCAACATTATATAGGTATTATATGGGTGGTTGTCAAAATTATGGTCCCTTTTTGGATCCCTATGATAATACAGAACCTAATATTTAGGGTACCCAAAAAGGGACCATAATGTTGACAACCACCCATATGACCCCAACCCTAAACCCTAAACCCTAAACCCTAAACCATAGTATAGGGGTTATATAGGGCTTTAAGGATAATGGAAAAGAAAATGGAAGCTACTCGGCTACTCCTCAAAAAGCCATGGGCTTGTGCTGCCACTGAAATCTTGAGCTTCTGGGCATCAAGCCTCCTGGATCAGATCTTAACGAATAGGATCTAAGGGTTTAGGATTCAGGGTTTAACATTTAGGATTTAGGGTTTAGGGTCTAGGATTTTTGGTTTAGGGTTTAGGGCTTTTGGTTTTTGGTTTAGGGCCCAGGCTGCTTTAGGACCCTTGGTCCCTTAAAGCGAATTTGTCCTTGTCTTGGTTGACCTTTGGAACCCTTTGAAAAAATATTAGTACATGGGGTCCTTATGAAACCAATGAGGGAAAATAAGCAAGCATCCAAAAGGCCAACCCACTTGTATAAAGCGTGCGGAAAGCACGCACCCTGGTTGTGCCCAACGTAAAACTGTTCTTCTTTCTCTGCCCTTGTTCTTCCAAACCCAAAATCTCAAAATCCATGGGGCGTACTTTCACCAAAGAACTGTTTAACAAACCTCAGCCCATGCTTTGAGATCTGGCACGAGGGCCCGGCTGCAGTCTATGTGGCCCGTCCTGGCTCGCAAAGCTGGAACTGATTTCAGACTGTGTTTCCTGAATCTAAACTCCTCCACTGTGCGGGTCCTTTAATCTGAGGTTCCACAAAAGGGGGCAGCTGTACGCGCGACCTTTACAGGTGGGGCGTGGGTCGGTAACCTGGGGCAAACCTCGCATTTTATAGTATAATACAGTATACTATACTAGTATATTCCAGTATACTATGGTATGTTATAGTAGTATATAAAACGGACCCTTTCGCGCCCCTGCTCGC